GGGACTGGGTGCGGCAGCAGGAGGTGAAGCGGCGGGTGAAGCGGCAGGTGCGAGGCGAGCCGCACGCTCAGCCCTTCAACGACCCGGTGTGGCCCAACATGTGGTACCTGGTGGGTATCGCCCTGTGAGGGACTCACGGCTTTACAGCAGGGGGGGTAATTTATTTTTAATCAAACGCGTTATCACTCTTTGCTTGGTCCAGCCAGTAATGAAACACCTTAATATCAGCAAACGTGCTTGACAGCAGGATTTTAAAATTGTAAATGAACACACGGGAGAGTCTAGGCTGAGGGGTTTTGCCATGATTTGCAGCCCTTCGTTATGGTCGCTGCAGTGAAGGCTTGGGAGCAGCACAGCTGCATTTTACCCACCCAACAGCTGCAACCATCTATTTGCAATATCATTTTTCTTCTGCCTGCTTCGCTGATCTGTATTTGACAGGGCAATTCATTGAAAATTAAGCGCAGAAAGGAAATAAGGGCTTCAAACCCAAAGAGCCCGCAGTATTTGAAGTGGAAGAGGAAAAGAATAATAGGGAGATAGCATTGCCTGGATTAACTGCTGCTGGGTGGAGTAAAGTTATAACAAATCTGCAATTATATGGCAGAGGGTGGGATGTAAATATGTTTTCTGGTCAATAAATGGGCTCCCAGCCTGGCTACTCGCTTAGATGGGCTGAAATGGGTTTGCAGCCCTTTTGCAGCTGTGTTTTCCTCCCTCCCTGTAGCACTGCGGCGATAAAAGCAGTCGCTGTAGGTCGGAGATGAACATCCTGGCAGCCTGGCAGAGGGGCTACACTGGCAAAAACGTGGTGATCACCATCCTCGACGACGGTATAGAGAGGAACCACCCCGACCTCCTGCAAAACTACGTGAGCCAGGGGCTGGAGGGGATGGGGGTGGTGCTCACGGTGAATTGATTTCTGGAGGATTTCGGTGTATAAACACAGCTTAAGTCTGTGTGTTGGCAGATTAGAAGAAAAAGTTGTTTCTTTTAAAAAAAAAAAAGCTCGAGATGTTTTGAAGGAAATGAAGTTTTTAGACAAGAGGGTTTGGGGAACACTCCCTTTGCAGCTGCCTGGGAAGCAGCCACCTCCTTCCAGCACTCCAGGACAGAGCCAAAAACCTGCCCAGACCCATTAATCCCAGGTCAAACTCCAAACAGCTGCAGCAGAAGTGGGGGAATGATGCTGGACCCAGCAGGATTTGGGGTTCGGAGGAGCCTCCCCTGAAAAAATGGGACATTCACCTTGTGAAATGCACAGGGCTGAAGCCCAAAGCTATTTATCCTGAGCAAACAGTCAGAAACTAAGAGGAAAATGACTTTTTTTGCCTGGCTCGGCTCCGTTGGCCACTATGCTGGCTGCAGGTGAAGCCAGACCGTGCTGGTGAGTCAAACCTGATGGTGACAACGTATTTTCAGGACCCTCTTGCCAGCTATGACGTCAACGGGAACGACCATGACCCAACTCCACGCTACGATGCCAGCAACGAGAATAAGTAGGTGATGCCAATGCCAGTGGAGTCGGTGGGCGGGGGGGGTCTCCCCACCTTGGGGTGTCTTCCAGGTCCGTGGCAACCACGCCAATTGCTAACGAACCCCTGAGCCATCGAATGATGTGCTGGGGTGGGGAAGAGGGAGGTTGGAGATTAAATGAGTTGGGTTGGGTGGCTTCGATGTCAGAGCTTGGATGCGCTTGCTGGGCTTCAGTTATAAAGCGGGACGGGCCCGTGGTGCCATGTGTGGAAGAGAGGAGAGAACCTAAAGAGCAGATTGAGTTTGGGTGCAAGATGCAAATGGAAAATTGCATCGAGGTGCAAAAAAGCACCGAGCAGATTGCGTTTAGGTGCAAGATGCAAACAGCAACTTGCAGGCTGCATCAGTTTCCCCCATCTCCCAGCCCTCCTGGGTTTGGATAGGGCACTTTGTTCCACTGCCTCGGCCTTGGTGCTGGTTTGTGGGTTGAGGGGGAGTGGCTGGGGGGGGGCG